AGAGGTAGATTGTAAACTCCAGATGTCTAACTACAAATCTTTTTTCCCCCATATCTTGGTTGGATGGGACAGTCTTAAAGGAATGGAAGAATGTTAGCAGGTAGATATGAGGACATGTGGGTAGACACTATTCCAGACATAGGGGATGGTTTGTGTGTAGGTGAAATGAGAGGATGATGAGAATTCAGCCTAGAAGAGACCTAAGAGGCCCAGCTCCTTCATTTTTACACATGATAAATTCAAAATCTAGAATCAATTTGCCAAAGGTACACAGATAGTTAAGCAACGGAGCTGAGATTGGAACCCAGGTCTTTTGACTCCAAACAGGTCTATCTCTTTTCATTCTGTTTCTGACATTATTAGCATGACATGAACAAGTCACTTATCTGACTTCAATTTCCTCTTATCTAAAATGGGGATAAGAATATTTGTAGACCCTACCTTACAGGGTAGTTGTGAGAATCCAATGAGATAATGTATGTAGAATGTTTTGTTAACTTTAAAATGCTATGAAATGCCTGTTATTATTATTATTACTACTACTACTACTACTACTACTACTACACCAAGCTGGAGAAGTTAAGATGCCATTAGAGAACAGTGAATAATCTAGCTTGGCTGGAGTGTAGTGTGTGAAGACCAGTGAAAGTGTGTGAAAAGCATGAAACAAGGCTGGAGAGGCAAGTTGTAGAAGGCCTTGTATGCTAGGCTAAGGAGCATATGTTTTATTTGGTAGGCAATGGGGAACAATTGAAAGTTGTTGAGCCCAAGAGTGATTTGATCAAGTGGTGAATCAGAACATTTGCTTTGGTAGTGGTGTGAAGAAGGCAACATGGTAAAAGGGAAAGACAAGAGGCAGGAAGATGACATGGAGGTTGTTTTGACAGTCAAGTGAAAGGGGGTGAGTATCTGAACTGGGACAGTGGCTCCTTACTATTGGTTGTCTCAAATCTAAACTCTTTTGCATAGGTCTTCCTTCCAGGTCTCTGTCCAACTCACTCTTCCCCAGTATGATACAGAGGATAGGGCACTGGAGTAGGAGATGCGGATTCTAATTCTGCTTTTGACACTATCTTTGTGATCTCTGGCAAGTCACCTTACTTCTCTGGGCCTCGGTTTCCTCAGATGTATAATGAAAAATTAGGTCTTGATGTCCTCCAGGGTTCTTTTTAGCTCAAAACCTACAGTTCTTTGATTTATGAACTTAAAAGTCTCACCTATGGCACATACTAACCACGTGACCTGGGCAAGCCACTTCTTCCCTGGACCTCAGAAAAAGGAGGTAAAATCTGAAAAACAACAGGGTTGGACCTGATTGCTCTGAAACTCTACATGTGTGATCCCTCTTCCCCACTCTCCCCACACCTCCAGCAACATCTCTCTTTACTCCCTAGAGCCGTCTTTCTGTTCCAACCAAGTTAATTTGCTTACTGATGGAATCCAACATCCCCCATGACCGACTCTACCTTCATGCCTTTGCACAATGCCTATCCAAGGGATTCCGGCATTGAATGGGAGGCTGGATCAGGGGATCTCTAAGGTCCCTTCCCACCCTAGCATCCTATGTTCTTCGAGTCTGCACTAGGTTATTTTGTTGGTAACTGATTGTCTTTTCGTAAATGTTTTGTCATCTCAATTATAAGCATTACAAAAGCTAGTCAAAGGCTGTATCTTCTTTTCTTTTGTATGCTGCGTGACGTAATGGTCCATTGCTGCCTGCTTGGGAAATGTGAACAGTCAGATGATGTGACTTGGCTGGTCTCATCCACTCTCAAGAGCACTAAACCCACTTGCAATTTTTTAAAAACAAAGAAAAAGAAATCAGGATTTAAAAAAAGAAAATTGGGTGGCCTGAGCTTAGTAAGATGAATTAGTGCTCTCATCAGACACCATGATGGAGCTATCACTCAGAATGGAAAGAATACAAGAAGGGCTAAATGGCAAATGGTGATTTGATTATGTCTTGAGTGCACTGTTACAGAGAGAATGAATAGAGGCCATCATTTTGTCCAACCTCCCGTGGCAAGATAGCCCTTGAAATGAACTACATTCCAAAGATAATTATGGCATTCAAGATCTTGGATCAATAATGAAGGAGAGGTCCTCACTAGTTCATATTTTGCTGAAGCATCTATGCTACAAAATCATAAATTGACCCATCTCAGGTACTGGTCAGTATCCCTCTGGGGTTGAACCAAAAGGAACATTTTTTCCCCATTTGACCATATTCCACTTTCAAATGGGTTTTTCATGTTTGATCACTCATACGAATCAATTAATGATGTCACACAGCAGCTTCGCATACTTCTAGGGAGTACCTGGAAAAATTATTCTGATGCAAAGTATCCCAACTCTCAATCAATTAATCATCAAGCATTTATTAAGGATTTGCTATATGTCTGGCAGTGTGCTAGGTACTGTAAAAAGGAAGGCAAGCACGAACCAGTTCTTGCCCTCAAGGGACTTACATTCTATACTACTGAGCCTATTGAGGGTTTTAAGGGAAAACTATTCCCTCTCTTATCAAATTTGCTATGGGAGAAATATGTCCTCTCTGAGTTTAGGTAGTGTATGAGTAACTGCTAAATATATATTTACCACAATGCAGAAATTATGGAGGTAAAAACCTAGGTTTTATTATTGTACTCAAGCATAGGGTCAGGCCTAAGAGAAAATCCGAACCCTCATTAGGATTCTAATGAGGTTTCTTATGGGAAAGGTTATGTCAGAGAAATAATTCATTTACATATTACAATCCTATACATTCCGCTTGGGCCATAAAAGTCAAAGAGTAGATCCACAATCACATACTTCCTTCAATGTCATGAAAGTTGAACAAACTTAGTTAAACAGAGTCATAATCTCATTCATCCCTTAAGGAAATAAACTTTATCAAACAAACTCTTTAGGTAAACTAAGTCAGGTTACAGATTAAACTACATTGGGAAAATTCACAAATAGACTAATTAAGGAGGATGATTTACATGTTGACAAGGAGTTAGGAACAGTTGAGCTTTTTCCTCTGGCTTCTTATCTAAGAAATCCTTTTTTTTTTTTTTTTGTGAGACAATTGGGGTTAAGTGACTTGCCCAGAGTTGCACAGTTAATAAGTGTTATGTGTCTGAGGCCGGATTTGAACTCAGGTCTTCCTGATTGCAGGGCTGGTGCTCTATCCACTGCACCACCTAGCTGCCCTCTAAGAAATTCTTAAGGTGTGTAAGTAAATTTCCACATCCCATGAGAGAGGTTTGGTCAGGTAGGTTAATATTAACCAAAAGATGCAGGAAGAATAAAAGAAAATAAAACAACTCCCATAGCAAGGGCATCATCGGGTTTTGAGCATGATGATTCACGATCTTTGAAGTAGACATGCAGAGATTACATGATTAAAAGGACACAGAACCTTTGACCTTGTTGTTTGCTTCTATTGGCCCAGGAGATCCCAGCTATCTATTGTGAAGTAGCAGCCAAGCATAGCAGATAAGGTACTGGACCTCAAATCAGGAAGACCTGGGTTCAAAGTCTTCCTCAAACACTTACTAGTTCTATGACTCTGCTTAAGTCACTACCTTCTCTACACCTCAATTTCCTCATCTATAAAATGATGGGGGAGGTGTACTTGATGGTCTTTAAATTTGTTTCCACCTCTAAATACATGATTCTGTGGTCTTAGTTTCCAGGCTTGGGATGTAACAAGATATCCAAAGAAAGGCCAGATTTTCTAATATATAAAGTCTTAAGGGGTCCCTATGGAAGTGATAGGAGTTTCCTTCTCTGTTAGTTCTACTAGGACCAGGATCTCTCCACAGTGTCCTTCTCCAATGCTGGTCTAGGAATTAGGGAATTTCAGAGTTCAGAAGATCATGGATCTAGCTAGAAGATCTCTCAAGGGACACGTAACACACCCGATCCAGAATCTAGCTCTACCAAATAGCTGACAAGTGATTAACTAGACTTTGCTTAGACACCTCTAGTGAGGAGAACCAACTCTTCCTTGAGGCAGCCTGTTCCACTTTCAGACAGCTCAAGTTGTTAAAAAAAAAGGGTTTTTTTTGTCTTACATAAATTTGTTTCTTTGCAGATTCCACCCACTGTTCCCAGCTCTGCCTTGTGGGGCAGATTTTGTGGTGACCTGATTGATAATTGAAGGATAAGACCATAGTCTCCACATCCAGTCTCATTCCTATTGTTTGATCATTTCAGTCACATTTGACTCTCCATGACCCCATTTGAGGTTTTCTTGGCAAAGATACTGGAGTGCCTGGCCATTTCCTTCTCCAGCTCATTTTACAGATGAGGAAACTGAGACAAACAGAGTTAAGCGACTTGCTCAAAGTCACACACAGTGCTTTATCCACTGTGCCATCTAATTGCTCAGTCTCATTCCCAAGGTGCCCTAAATACATGACAGAATAAAGATGAAAAGCCGTGTCTGTTTTCTGTAGTTATAACGATGGGTCACATAGAAACAGAGAGTGAGAAGGATAACCTAAGGATAGCCTGCATCCTACAATGGTCTCCATGCAATGTCAAGAGAAATAAGTGGCGGGTCCTTTAGCATGCTGAGTGACCCCTTGTTGAAGATTTACATCAGGAGTTCTTCATGTCTTTGGTGTCAGAGACCCCAGTCTGGTGAAGCCTAGAGATCTATTCTCAAAATAAGGATTTTAAACAATTGAAGGAAATGCTAAGTTTCAGTTAGAGGTTAGTGCAAATGAAGATGTAACTTGACAGACCACAGGAAATCTATCCATAGTCCCCAGCCTAAAATGCTCTGGTTTATAGGAAGATATGGATTAATGGATAAGAATTGTATAGGAGGAGAACATATGGGTGGGTTGCTACTAGCACCATTGGAGGGAGTGCCCACATCAGTAATTTCCTAGAGCCATTGAAGGAAGGATGGTCTGTTTCCTATCAGTCCTAAAGAGCTTTGGTTTTGAGCTTTTGTCTCAGGAAAAACATAGAACAGGAAATTGTACCTGTTAAAAAAAACTTACCTCCACTGCAGCTTTTGCCCTTTCAAATTCCTCTTCTAAGGAGTGGTTTCTGGAGAGTAATGCACTTCCCCAGCGCTGTTCTTTGGTCAGGCGAGCCTAAAATAAGCCCAAAACAATGACATTGTAATCAAATGAGTCACAGCTGCCTGACTCTTTCCCCATTTCACTCCATTTGGCCTCCACTAGAACTCAAGAGGCACCTGCAAGAGACCTAAGCCTTTTGTTTACTACTTAGCAATAGGAATATTTCTCAAAGGGCAGATGACCTTCCTTCCATGGGATGTAGAGACCTGCTCATGGGACAGGATAGACTTAACAGCAGAGCTAGCCCCATGGAAGAGCAAATGCTCAGCCAAGCTGGAGGTCAGATGTCCATGTCTCTGCACAGATGCCTCATGCACTCACGGCTTCACATCACTTATTACTATTTGCAAATCGTGTTGCTTCTACTATGGCTATCCTCTTCAGGCCCTTGCCACTGGAATTACCCAAATTCTGCCCTAGATGTCTCTGATAGCTGAGCTTTTGCCTTATCTTGCCTTCTTGTCATTCTTTGGCCCTCTCCCTTCCCCTGGGACCCCCTATTTTTAGTTCCTGCCTAGGTATTGTCTTTTCCAGTTAAAATATAGATTCTTTGAGATCTCTTAGAATTTGTATTGGTATCTCCAGCACTTAGCACAGTGCCTGGCAAATAGTAAGGGCTTAATAAATGCTCTATATACCTTCTCTCCCCCCTCTCCTTTATTCCTGGATGTCTTCCTTCTCCTGAATTCCTTCCTCCCTGCATCCCAGTCCAGCCTATCACAGCAGGGCAGCCTCTGAACTGTCCTCCGCTTCCTCCCAGCAACAATAATCTAATGGGCTTCATCTCATTCCCTTAGAGCCCAATCTTTGCTAAGGAAGAACAGAGGATAACAGGCCATACCTAGATAGATGCATTAATCATTGCTGATGTGTTACTTTTTAAAATTAAACGATAATTTTTCAATTACAAAGCATTTATTTTTTTTCTCTCTCCCACCCCACTACCCCAGCAGGGGGAAAAAGAAAGAAAAGCTAAAGTCTTGTAATAAACATGCATAATCAAGCAAATCAAATTCCTACATTGGCCATGTCCAAAAATATGAGTCTTTTTCTGCAGATTGAGTCCATTGTCTTTCTGTCGGGAGGTGGGCACCACGCTTTATCATCGGTTTAGAGGGAAATGATTAGAATCAGGAGAACACTTTATATCACAGTGTGTTAATTTTTACAGGTTGCATAACATCCTCACCCATTTGCATGCACATATCTCCAGAAGGCTCTGAAGGAGTGTCTCTAATCATGTGAATTTTGAAGATAGTTGTACACTCTGAGTCAGACGAGAATTCATTTAGTCCAACTTCTCCAAGCAGGACTCCCTTCTCCAATATCCCTGACCAAAGCATGGGAATTAGAGAGAGAAAGGACCTTAGAGGTCATTTACTGCAATCCCCTCAATTTGCAGATGAGAAAACTAAGGCCCAGAGAAGTTACACGTCTTACTCAAGGTCATATTGTTAGTAAGCAGCAGAATCAGATTTTAAGTCCAGGCCCTTTATCTCCAAATCCAGGATTCCTTCCCGTATTCCAAAATGCCCCCATCCAGCCCCAGCGCGAGCATTTCTGGGCTTGCTAGGTTTTGAGTGGACCTTGCTATTATTTGGACAACTTTGATGATTAAAAAGCACTTCCTTACAGGACCACAGGGATTGGACCTATGATTTTATTGGTATTGGGAACTCCCTCTTCTAATAGACATCAGTTCCTTCTCTGAAACTTGGAGAATAAGAGAGATGCCTAGAGTACTGATTAAGCGACTTGCCCAAGGTCACATAGCCAGGGCAGGATCTGAACCTGGACCTTCCTGGCTCCAAGGCCAACTCCCTATCTATTCTGCCATGCTGTTTCTCTACATGCTTCTATTGAGCCCCAATCTGTCTGCAGGTAGCTTCCATCTCCTCATTCTGCCCTCTGGGGCAACACAAATAAGACTACATCCTCTTGCATGGGATAGCCCTTCAGACGTTTGAAAAGAGTCAGTAGGAAAGAGATTTTTTTGAACAGAAACGTTTTCTGCCCACAAGGAACATGTGGCTACCTACTCTGGCTGCCTCTTGGAAAGCATAGAATTGATGTGCGTGTGCTACGATAATGTATGGTTGTTCTACTTGCTAACATTAGTCAGGTGCGTCCCACTCCTCTCCACACACTTGCATCTGTTCCTCCCTGTGATCTGCTCATTCTTCACTTGACCCTTTGGCCAGGGTCAGTCTATTCCTCTTCCCTTCCTTTTATAAATAGGGGTGAGAACCAGAAAGTGTTTGGAACACATACGCCATAGAAAGGATGTTACTTTCACTCTTTGTCCACAAGCACCCTTATGCCTCTCCTGGTGAATGAGACCTTTGGCATAGAACCTGGTTACAGACACCCCTTAGGACTACAGGGGGCTAAGAGGCCTGGAGAACCCCTAACTCTGATGCCATCTTCTTAGCACCAACTGCAGAGCTGGATCATGTGTCGCTTTCATTCTGCCAAGTCAGTTTTAATTACATTTAGGGCTTTTGCTTGCTGGGATCGAAGAATCAAACCATTTAATGCAAACCCATAATACTCTACTCAGTACCTGATTAAAGAATGAATTTTAAATTGGTCAGTTTTGAAGTCCCACTATCCAATGAGGCTACAGCTGCTTCTTTTTTTTTTTTTTGCAAGGCAATCGGGGTTAAGTGACTTGCCCAGAGTCACACAGCTAGTAAGTGTCAAGTGTCTGAGGCCAGATTTGAACGCAGGTCCTCCTGACTCCAGGGCCAGTGCTCTATCCACTGCACCACTTCATTGCCCCATAGTTGCTTTTTTCTCAACTTATAGATGTTTGATAATTTTAGGGAAGGACAGAGAAAGGGGATCCAGAATGGATCAGAGGCTGCTTGGAGATAAAAGGTGGAGCTTCAGGAAGGATAGTCTTTGTCCTGACAGGTAGTGTTGCACAGTTGATAATGAGCCAACCTCATAGACAAGAAGACCTGGGTTTGAAACCCATCTTGGTCACATATTGTGAAGCTGAGTGGGTCACATAACTTCTCAGTCTCTAAGACTAAGGTGCAGAGTAGGCATTGATCTGTGTTGAGAGAAGGAATGTCCTCAATGGGAACTCTCCACACAAATGAAATCACAGGTCCCAAAAAAGGAGGAACTCTTATACCTTATTCATTTGGAAATATAAGCAATGGAACCCTTCTAGGCATGGTTAATGATTTCTGTTTAACAATTATATACTTCAGGTGTTAATATTTAGAGTTATAATATTAAAATTAAAAAATGGCTTCTTAGCTTTAAACCAGATTTTTAAAAAATCTTAATACTTAGAAGTCACTTGGACTGTACATGTCACTTCGATTTTCAGTGATGTGTATGCAATTAATTTATTTTCTAATTTATGCACATTACTACCCATTGCAGCAACTCCCTGTTCTCCAGGGTTTGTGTACTCTCATTTTCAACAGCATAAGAACTCTGATTCCATTTGTGCTGCTTTTCTTAGCAATTATCTCCAGGATTCTGGAGCATTAACAGAACAGCAGAATCAAAAACTACACCAGAAAAGTATTTCCAGAACCCACCTCCCTTCCCAAAGAACTAATAAGTTAGAGTGAGACAATATCCAAAATTGCTGGATAAATACATTTTGAGGAGATGTGCTCAGAAATAGAAACTACACTGTTATCTCTCACAATTGAGCAGACACCAAATAATGGTGTCTTATGTCCTTAATATTTAAAAATAAAGACCAAGGGATAATGTGGCAGGGTAGATAGAGGGTCTGGTCTTAGAGTCAGGAAGAGATGGTCTCATGTAGTCTGACTCATGTAGTCTGTGTGATTATGGGAAAGATACAGAGCCTCTCAATGCCTCCAGGCTAGGCTTTAAGATTACAAATTATACAAGAGTTGTCAACATGTATTGTTGGAGGGAGCTACTGTGCATTGATGAAGTCACAGGCTTGGATGAAGAAGAAGATGATGATGAAGAAGACGAAGATGAAGATGAAGATGAAGGAGGAGGAGGAGGAGAGGAAGAAGAAGAAGAAGAAGAAGAAGAAGAAGAAAAAGAAGAAGAAGAAGATGAAGAAGAAGAAGAAGAAGATGAAGAAGAAGAAGAAGAAGAAGAAGAAGAAGAAGAAGAAGAAGAAGAAGAAGAAGAAGAAGAAGAAGAAGAAGAGGAAGAGATAAGCAAGGAACTAATTGAATTTGGGAAAATAACAGAACTATGCCACCTGACACTGAAATCATGTTTTCTATCAAGCCTGGGAGTTTTTCCTTGAGCCAAGTTCACATCTTGCTTGCTTAAAGTATTTCCTTTAGTTTAACTCTTATTTTACAAACATTTCTAGTTCTATTCTGACACTTTTCCCCACAATGAGTCTCACATGGAACAATAAATGGTACAAGGCAAAACTATTTCTTCTGTTCCCTTTCTAGGGCTCACAAATTTGGAAGGGACCTTAGTGGTTATTGGGTCCAACCCCTTCATTTTACAGGAGAGGAAATAGCTACAAACAAGTTAGGTGACTTGTCCAGAGTTATATGGCTAATCAATGTCTAAAGCAGGATTTGAATTTGGGTCTTCGTGACTTTGAAGCCAGCATTCTATCCACTATGCAGCCACCAGATGTCCAATTTTGATTTTCTTCATACTCTTCAGTATTTATATTCCCCAATGATATGGCAATCACTTACTGCCTATTAGCATATTTTTCATAAGTGGAACACTAATGAGAATATCATTTCATCGTCAGTGCTTTCCCCATGGCATTATAGGTGGTATCACAACAATCAGAATTTCCGGAATGAGAGGGAGAAGGACCAAGGAGAAGTGTTCCCTCAAGTGCCCAGGGCTCTACCCGTGTATAACTTGAGAGAATACAATCCAAATTTGGAATTGCATTTGGAAACCAAAAGGGAATCAATGCCAACAGTATCATTTCAGTATGTTTTTAGCACTCTGGAACCTGGCCACTCACTGTGTTCTGCAACAGATGTACTTTCTAGGTGCTTTGTAAGGATAAATACAAG